GGAGGAGGAGGAGGAGGAGGGGGAGGAGGAGGGGGAGGAGGAGGAGGAGGAAACGGAAAAGGAGGATGTGGAGGAGGAGGAGGACAAGGAGGAGGAGGAGGAGGAGGAGGAGGAGGAGGGGGAGGAGGGGGAGGGGGAGGAGGAGGAGGGGGAGAAGGAGGAGAAGGATGAGGAGGAGGAGACCAATGTGAACCCAGTGCGCGTCAACGATGATGCAAGGCGCCCTCCCTTCAAGTTCCCTCTGGAAGACAAGCGTCTGAGAGTCCTCACTCGTGCTGAAACACAATTCCTGAAATTTCGACGCTGGGCAATTCGAGTGAATGCTGCATCCTGGCAATCCTAACCAGAACACTGTACCTGATGCTTCAACGCCGCGAAGCAAGACTAGTGTTGCGCCCTGGCGTTCCTAAATCATACCTGAGCGCCGTTCCTGGGACTTCAACATGCGAATCCGTAGCACATGATGTAAGCGTTTAAGATGAACGGATGCGGCGCCAATGCGAGAGCCACAGTTCAAAAAGGAAGCGCCCGCCATCCTTCCAAACGGTTGCAGACTTTCACTACGAATGTGCGCGGCGCTACGACGATAGTCATATTCGTAATGGGAAGCGACCTCTTTTTTGAAACAGTGACTACTGCAACCCTCGTCAAACTTAGCCTCAAAAATGTCTGACGTGGTTGAACTGCTTGTCTGAAGACCTGGGGCCGAGTATCGATGAGTGCGGGGTACTTGCATGCGCCGCCCCTCCAATGTCGGTCGACGTCAAACTTTCGAGTCAACTTCGGTCAGACTATCTTTGCCCTCGCCCCGACATTGAAGGGGCGGCGTGTCGACATTGAGGGGCGCGCCGACATCGAAATGACGTGCCAGCAACTGTTGAGGTTAATTTTGACGAGGCTACTGGTATCTGCTCAAACGAACTATCGCTGCGCGAAGATTTTGTGCCGTAGTTTGAAGTCCAGCCGCCCTCCATCCCGGAAGCTGTTGCACGTGTCAAGCTTCAGGGTCAAAGGTAGTGAGGAAGTCTCGGGCGAACCTCCCAGCCCGCCCTTCCGACACGTCTGGGGCGTCACGTCTGGACGCCCGACATGGGCACAGAAAGAATGGGTACAATGCCTAACAGCAGTTGCTGTTCATTTTGAACAGGACTCGCTGTCCACGCCGCCGCGGCCTGTGTCCATTCGAGACAGAAGGCCGCCTGCCCAACAGCGGCCGCTGTTGGTTTGGGACAACATTTGCTGTTAGGCAGTGTATCCATTCTTTCCGTGCCCATCTCGGGCGTCCAAATCACATGGAGGAGTTATTGAACGGGAGGATGGATGAAGGTGGAAGGGGAGGAACAGGGAGAGGTGGGGGCGGAGCAGTCGGGATCCGATTCGCATTCACACCCGCGCTCGCAGGCGAGGCGCCCCCGAGAGCCAAGGAATTTGTTCGGACTGCCACTCGGCTTCGTGAATGTGTTGTTCTGTCAGTTGCTCCCGCGGGAGGTGTGCAGAAATGCCTCTTGCGGGGAGGAGGGTGCGTGGCAATTTCGGAGGACCTTGCCCTTCCTGTAAGTGTGTCAGCCTTTTCTCTCGACGCGGATTCGACGCGAATTCGGTTTGGACGCATGGATTCGGGAAGGAGTCCAGGGTGCTTCGGCTTGAATGGCGACGCGATGGGACAGACAATGCGCCCCGAAGATGCAACATGAACATGGGATGGGAGGACACGAGGTGGAAATCAAGGAGCAGGGGCGCGCCTGATCTAAGGCGATCCCCTCTGTTTCCGTGTCCAACGTCAGCTTCTGGAGCATCGGGGTATTGGATGCGACCATCCGGGACATCGTCCTGCCATGGTACGGGTGGGCGTTGCACCGCTGCCTCTTCGGGCGCATCGAGAATCAGCCGCTGGCTGGTGTACCCTTTCGAGCCATCAACGGAGCGTACAAGTCTGCGCTTGCCGAGCTGGTCTCCGTCGTCGAAGGCCTCGGCTTTCCCTACGTCCCCATCCAGGGCACGCTGATCTCGCTGCTGCGCTACGGCGACTTCCCCGCAGGCTTGCTGAGTGGCGGTAAAGAGGATGTGGTGGACAACGATGCCGAGCTGATGATTCTTCTCGATCCTGAGCTCGATCACTCGAGAGGCGTGCGCCATTCCGCCGACCCCCAAGCAGAGGTGTGCGGCCTCCGACTTCGTGTGTGTGCTGCTTGGGACCTCCCGTCGTGCTGCCCGCGTGCATTTGTCGCTGACTCGTCCTCCTCTTCCTTCGCGTCTGTGGCGGGGCTTTTAGGGGGCCTCTTGGAGTCCTAAGGGCTACGGGGATTTGTTCGGCGATCCGTGGGGGCTTCTTGTTGGCCTTCTTGGGGGGCTTCTTGGCGCCTCTTGGGGGCCATCTTTTAGGAGGGGCACCCTTGGTCCCTGCAAATTCCCCCTATTTGATGTCTCCTCGGCTATTCTTTGGGCCCTCTTAAAATCTGTTTGAAAGTCTTCGGGGCCTCTGGGGCCGTCTTGGGGCCCTCTTGGGCCGTCTCCGGGCCTTCTTGGGGGGCTCTTGGGCCGTCTGGGGTCAGTCTGGGACGCCTTTCACGCCGTTTTGGGTTTTGCAGACGCCCGCGCAGGCCAGAACGCGAACCACATCCAAAGCATATAGAAAGTCTATGATGCCTGCCTCTTGAGGCCCTCTTGCGGGTCCTCTCGGTGTCCTCTTTCGACCCTTCTGGCCGTCTTGAAGCTATCGTAGGCCCTAAGGCGTCTCTTGCGCGTTGGATCCCTCCTGGAGCCATCTTGGAAGCATCTTGGGCACCTTGGCGCCCACCGAGGGTTGATCTGCACGCTTGCGCTGCCTCCGCCGACCCCTCCAGCTTGAGGCCCCAACAGGAGCCTGGGGGAGGGAAGGGACCCCCTGGACGAGTTCACCCGCGGGTTGTGCCGGGCAAGCCCCCCCCCCTCAACCTTTCGGCACGAACGAAATGGGTACGGAAAGAATGGGTACAATGCCCAACAGCGGTTCCGGTTCATTTTGAACAGGACTCGCTGTCGGTGTCGCCGCGGCCTGTGTACATTCGAGACAGAAGGCCGCCTGCCCAACAGCGGCCGCTGTTGGGTTGGGACAACATTTGTTGTTGGGCATTGTGCCCATGTTTTCCGTGCCCATTTCGGGCGTCCAAAACCTTGCAGTTTGGGGTCCTTGGGGGTGGGGGGCCGGGGACCCTCTCACGCCTGGAGGCCCACAGGGGGGGCAGCGGATCTTGAGGCTCTGGAGGCCCCAGGAGCCCGGGCACGACCACCCACGCCCCCAAACCCGGGGGGGCCCCCTTCGCAGGGCCACCTCCCCTCCAAGGGGGACTTGAAGCTCCAGGGGAGGGGTACAGGGCCCTGACCTTCCGGGAGGGCTAAAAGCTAGCATCTGGACCATGACGTCTAAATTCCTGTCGAAGGTTTCAGCAGCCCAGCTAGGTCTATAGGTCTGGAGGGTCGTGTTTTAGCACTCTGGAAGGTCAGGGGGGGAGGGGTGACAGCCACTGATCTCGCACGGGGTGGCAGCCGCTGATCTCGCACGCCTCGTCACCCCTTGGCGGGCGGGGGTCGGCGGCTCTGGAGGTCGGCGCGCTGATCTCGCTCGGCCTGGAGGCGCTGGACTGGCCCCCGTGCGAGAACTCGCACTTCCGGAAGATGGTGTGCTTCAGCCTGCGGCACAGGTTCCCCTGCAAGCTGGAGCTCTACTTCTACGCGGTGCACGCCGGCCAGGGCAGCCCCGCAGTGCGAAGAGGGGCTTCCCGCCCTCCCCCCCTTCCCTCCTCCCCTCCTCCCCCCTCCCCTCCTACCCTCCTCCCCTCCTCCCCTCCTCCCCTCCTGGCCTCCCAGGTGGGGTCCGAGTAGATTTGAGTCGGGCGTGTCCTTCTGCGGGGAATCTTCCAAATTGTAAGAATTTTGTCTGGGGACGATTTCGCTACCAGTTTTGTCACTGTTAGAGTCGTTTCTTGCCCTTTTTTCATTTCTCTTCTCGAATCCGCCTGTTGGGGGACATGCCCGACCTAAGAGTAGATGGGGTGGCAGGATCGATCCCCTCGCCTGCCGCAGGCTGCCCCTTTGTGGCCCTGCTGCCACCGGAGCGCGCCGCGGGGAGGGGGAGGGCCAGGTGTTGCCAGAGTTGGGTACGCCAAGCTGTGGCGAGGCGTCCTGGCCTGCTGACACTCCCACCAGGGAATTTTCTAAGAGCCGCTGGGGTTTGCACGAAATGCCTGAACATGTTTTGCCTGAGGCCTTCGTGTGTGAGAAGAACGTCGGCTGCATGTTTTAAGAGCATGGTGCTTGCTCTCAGAGCCCGATTGTGTCCTGGCCTGGGAGCATCTCGTGGCAGGCCTATAGAACTGTCAGCACGGCTGGTCCCTGCTCACCTGTGGCCCAAGGGGCCCATGGTGAGCGACGCAGAACAATGTGTTCGACTGCGCCGGCACTCGCGCGACAGTTGCCTGCGTGAGATGGCGCGGCAGCGTCTGCGTTTCCAGTCTGCGGGTGCCGCGCTGGCGGCCTGCGTCAGCTGCGGTGCAAGGTCGCTGTGTCGCCTCGCGTAAGGCCCGTTTCTCTGCGTCGCTCAGGCGGCCTCATCTTTCCCAGACGGGCCCAGCAGGCGTCCAGAGGGTACCCAAGAGGTTCCAGAACCCTGAGGTCCGACGTTGCGAAACGCGCTGCGTCGCGAAAAAATCACGGCCAGAGCCCTAGACCCCATCCACCCGCGGCATGTCTGAGCGCCCTCGACCTGCGAGTGTCCCCGGGCCCGAGCCCGGGCGACAACGCCTGGCGTGACAAATTTGCAACGCCGGGATGTGAGGGAGTGGCGCGCCAAGTTGGGGGCACTTTGGGCCAGGATCAGGACGCTTCGCGAAGACCAGAGGGCCCCACTAGGCCCCAGAGTGGCGCGCAGAGGGGGGGGGAACTTCGGGCCAGGATCTCCTCTGGCAGCCCGGGTATCCGACGTCGCGCTTGTTGCTCACTGCGCGGATCCCTGGATGATGTCACCGATTCCCGAGTGTCGGCTTTCCCATCTTGGAGGAGGTTATTCTTCAGATCGATGGCAGGAGCATGACTATACTAGATGCTTGTCCACGACGTCGTGGCACATGGCGGTCCAAACGCTGTGCATTTAGTCGATGTACACCTGTCGCCCGGAGAACAGGCCGGGAAAGTATATACTACACGTTCTCCGTTGGCGCTTCTGCGAAGCACCGTGGGACAGGGCCCAGATATCTTCGTGTACACACGCGCGGCTCCCACTCAGAGTCCGGCAAGTCTACTTGCATCCAAAAGGGGGGCGTGGCGAGACCCGAAACCAAATCTAGATTTCACGCAAGTCGGGACACACTTGCACGCCTTTTCGGCCCAGCGGTGTTCGAAGAGGCGGCGGAGAGGGGCGGCGGGACTGCCATGCCAGGCGAACCTGCCAGAGCCCACGCGAAAGCACGCTTTGTTGCAGGCCCCGGTGCCTCGTAAGAGCCTGGCGCGCCCTGTGGAAACGCTGCTGTCGAGGCTGGGATGTCGGAGGATGTCCGAGAGGATGCCAGGGGATGTCCGAGCCTTGGGAAGTGGCTTGGCGTCGCTCGGACGTGTGCATTTTGTCCTTCGGCGAGGACAGTCTAGGAGCACCCTTGATCATTTGGCGAAAAAACCACGCACGAAACCGGAAACAGCACAGGGAATGGACGTCCGAGCGATGGCCAGTGAGGAGCGGAGGGGACCCGCTTCGCACCGGGACGTCATCCAGCAGCCCCACCGCTGCTTCCCCGACGGCCGCTGCGCCTTCGACCCCGGGGCGTCCCCGCTCCAGCGCTGGGGCGGGCAGCTGCCCGTGGACGTCGTGTTCCCCCTGCGGCAGTGCCGCCTCGGGAGCCCCGGCGCCCGCGTGAGCTGCCCGAGCAGGCTTAAGTCGGGCCTGTCCCCCTACAGGGGGATTTTCGACGAAAAATAAAAAATACCCCAAGAATAGTCCAGAAAGAATCCAAAAATGATCTGGGGACTATTTTTTTAGCATTGTTCACCTTTTTGGAGCATTTTCGGTGTATTGTTTTTCATTTTTCGTCGAAAGTCCCCCTGTAGGGGGACCAGACCCGACTTGAGAGCAGGCCGGTGGAGATGCTGCAGGGCTGGAACAGCAACGCGTACGTGCAGGCCAAGTCCGACTCGTGCCTGGCGCTGCCGGTGCTGTCCAGGGCCCGCGCCTACAGCGACTCGCGCAACGAGCGCCTGATGCAGGAGGGGCTCTCTCCCGGCGACGTCCGCCTGCTGCGCGGCTATGCGGGTGTGGCTGAAAAAGTGCTCCTGGCCCACGGTGCCCCCAAGATGCTCGGGGTGGCCCAGACGGCCTCCAGAGCACCCGTCGCGAGGCCCAGAGGGCTCCAGGGGCCCCAACATCAAGGGCTCCCACGAGGGCGCGAAGTTATTCGCGCTTCGCGGTCCTCCTTCCTCCTCCCCCTCCTCCTCGTCCTCCTCTTCTCCCTTTGGGGGGGCGGCGCGAGAGCGCGAAGTTATTCGCGCTTCGCGCTTCGCGCAGCGCGAAGCGCGAACTTAGGAGCCCTTGCAGAATGGAGCGAAAAGCTGGTGGCACACTGGGCCAAGGGCAGTTCTAGCGACACCCGAGCTGTGCGCGCTCTCTTCACGCCCAGGGGCTCGCGTCTTTTCATGAGCATCTGGGGGACGAGGCCTGCGTAAAGCGGCAGCGGCAGATCGAGACGGGCGGCGCCCACGCGGGTCTCTCCCAGCTCTAGCGGTCGGCCCTGGCCTGCTGGATCGCGGCGCGGCCCTGCGGCAGACAAAACGAAAAGAGCGGCCACACAGAACTGAGCTACCCCAGGCTTGATTTCCTCGGCGCATCTTCAGGATAGTACGACCTATAATGTCTTCAGATCTTCGAGCGCGCGACGCATCTCCCATGGATTCGACGAGAGAAGAAGCTCTGAGGCAAATCAAGTATGTAGTCGACCCCCTACTGGAATGCTGTTGTCTGCGTCGAAGGGAAAGGCGCATTCGATTGCACCCTTGGTGCTCCGCGTAGCTACAACGCTCGTCCTGGCAGTTGTCCTGGCATTTCGCGACTTGGTTGCTCAGCACGACGCAGCACATTCTAGGGCAGCCTTGACGGGATAGTTGCAAGCTACGTCACGTTGTTGCAGCCGTCCGGAATCTTTCTAGTATACCGACTGTCGTTGCAGACTAGCGACTAGCAAAAGCGCGCCCTTCTGAAAACATTCACAGCAATGTGGAAGAGTCAGGTCGTCAGATCTTGAGGCAGAGCGCAATCTGTGGTTGCTTGAGGCGGGGGAGGTTTCAACCGACCGCCCCCTATCCAAACATCCTGGACGTCCGGAAACCTCCTTGGCGCCATTCGTCGTCGTCTGCCGGCAGACGACGAAGATGAGCCCCCCGGGCGCGGGCAAGCGTCGACGACGACGGCGACAGCGATAACACTCATGTCTCCTGTGGCGTACGCAAGCCTCCCCATGTGGCGCTGGCCAACGACGGCGATGAACCCCTTGTCCTGGCGCCGGCAAGCGACGACGATGATGGATCCCCCCTGGCACGAGCAAACGACGACCATGACCCTTCCCCCCCGCCCCCTGGCGCTGGCAGAGCAACCGACGACGGCGACGACGACGGGCGTCAGGGAGGGCGGGGGTGTGAAATCCCACCACCCCCACCCACTGGCGCCAGCAGACGACGACGACGACGACGACGACGACGACGACGACAACGAGTGGCGGTAGGGTGGGGGGCGGACGGTTACAAATACACACACACACACACTCCGATACATATATATATATATATATATGTATATATATATATATATATATGTATAAGCATGTATGTATGTATATATATTTATATGTTGTTTATTATTTGTTTTCTTGGCGATCGCGGCCTCGCGCGCAGCGACGAGGCGGAGCGTGCCGAGCAGAGCGGCACAGAACTAGCGAGCGCAGAGCGCACGCACACACACACACACACACATACACACACAGACACACACACACAGACACAGACACAGACACACATACACACACAGGCACACACACACAGACAGACACTCACACACACCGTAGGCTCGAGGCCAAGATGGTTACTCTTCACTGCCTCAGCGGGGTTGGCTCCCAGCTCCAGCTTCCAAGCTTTCGGGGTGCCAGTGCCCGGCTGGCCCCACACACGCACGGCTGCCCGCGGCGGCGGCGGTGGCGGGCAGGCGGGGCCCCCGCGCCGACAGCAGGAAGGGTGGTCCTCCAGGGGCGCCGGGGAGGCGGGCAAGGACCAGGGCGCCGCCGATCCCGCGGAGTGCGTGCGCTGCCCAGGCTGCTCCTGCAAGTGGAACTTCGGCGCCGAGACGGAGGGCTTCGAGTGTGGCAAGGCCCTCGTTCACGCGGTGGCCGCTCCCGCGCCCAAGGGCAGCGTGGGCGCGGCCGCCCTGGTGGCAGGACGACGCGCCCGCCGCGCTTCCAGCCGACCCAGGTCGCAGCGCGCGAGTGGGGGCCGCCGTTGCTTGCTGAGCCATCCGACGCCGAGGCCTTCGCGGTGCTGGCAGCCAGGCGCCCGAAGCACGCCAAGCAGCCGGCCGACCTCCAGCTGGCCGTGGCACCACCGCCGCCCGTTGAGGCGAAGGCGCTGCCTGACGTCGCGCTCCACCGCGCCCAGGCCAAGCAGCGGCGTGCGGAGGCGGCCTTTCACGAGAAGGTGGTGCGCGCCGAGGAGGCCGGGGCGCGGCTTCAGAGCTGCCGCGAGGACGAGCCCAAGGCCGGCGAGCTCCTGCTGGCCAGAGCCGACGTGGAGGAGGCCTGCAAGGCAGCGGCGCCGCAAGGCCTGGTGGCGCGAGCCCAGGGCAGGGCACCCAGCCGCCCAGGCCGCACCAGATCGAGATGGTCGGCGAGTGCGTGGCGCGCGTCGCGTGCGGCTCCTACTCAAGGGCGCCCTCGAGGGCGCGAAGTTATTCGCGCTTCGCGCTTCGCGGTTCGGCTCCGCTTCCTCCTCATCCTCTTTTGCTCCCCTGGGAGGCGGCGCGAGAGCGCGAAGTTATTCGCACTTCGCGCTTCGCGCAGCGCGAAGCGCGAAGTTGGGAGCCCTTGCTACTCGAAGCAGGTGGCCAGGAACCTCGCGGGCCCACGCAGGAAGCTGGACGTGCGCGACCCGCGCGCTCGCGAGCGCCAGCGGAGGATCGCCCGCGCCATGGGCGGCGGGGGTCCCAAGGCGGGCAAGCCCATGCAGGGGTGAGCTGGAGGCGTCGAGGCCGTTGCGCCCGTGCTGAGCCGAGCGGCCAGGCCGTTGAGCACACTGCTCGGCCTCCTCCTCCTCCTCCTCCTCCTCCTCCTCCTCCTCCTCCTCCTCCTCCTCCTCCTGCCCGCGGCCTGCGGGCCCGAAGGCTGCGGCGAGGCGCGGGCGCCCCGCAGTGTCCGATCACCAGAATCAGCAGAAACACGCACACACACACACACACACACACACACACACACACACACACACACGCATGCACACACACACACACACACACACACACACACACACGCATGCACACACACACACACTTCTCCTTGGGGGGATTGTGCGCAGGTGGGGCTCTGTGTGACCCATACTTTTGAGAAATGCATCTTCTTGATCGAGAAAGCTCTGGGCACTCAGCCTATACATGTCGAAATGAAGGCCAGTCCGCACGACAAAAGGAACATGTCTTGTCTGACTGCCTCCGCGTCTCTGAGGCCACACCACGAGACAGATATATGCAGAGCAACTTTCTGTCGGTCTCCGAAAGCTTCTTCATGACTTCCTGGAATACAGCACAATGTGAGAGATGAGGATCAATCTCTGAGATCTCATCTGCATCCTGTCTGTCTTTGTTTACTTGTTGGAAACATCGTACCCTAGCAATTGTACGCAGTCCATGTTCATCTCGGCCTCGGTATCGTTCGTGGTGAGGGCGCCTCGTCCAGAATTGATAGGTACCTGGCAGGAAACTCCAACGAACTGCACCCAGAACTCTGTGGTCGTCGTCGGGCTGCGCTTCGTAGGTGTATTCTCTAAGCCCACCATCTGTGTCGACACCACCACTTCGACGAAGACCGAATCGCGGCCTCGTGCAGTAGTCTCGCCACTTTCTCAGCAACCGGTGCCAGTATCGGTGAAGCCCAATACCACAACGGTCTGATGTAATTGACAGCCAATCTTTCTCTAACATCTGCGCCTCCTGGAATGCTGCCCAAAGTCGCAACTGCTTGGAAAATCTTCTCCCACCCCAACCGAGGCAAGATAGGATAATCATGATCAACAGGCCTAGCTCGGACTCCCAAATGTTCCAAAAGTCTGGTGGATCATCTTCCCGGGTCCAGACCTGCCTCTTTGCCTGGTTCTCGACGAAGCCGCAATCCCTGTCGAAGGTCGTCATCATGTCGAGGTCATCCTGTAGCTGTTCTCTCGTAGCACTTGTGAGGCTCCTGTCATCCATGTACGCCTGTCCTGAGAAAGGCCTCCACGGAGTAAGAATGCATATCGTAGTTGCTGGTGCGATTGAGTCGCCTTGTGGCAACCCACGCTGAGGAAGATACACCACCCACACTTCGACACCGAGGCCCATTCCAGGCCGCCAAGGCCGTGTACACCACCACGTCAGGAGTACTTGTGGCCAACGACCCAGCTTCACCAACTTCGTGACTGCTGTAGTCGTAGGCGCGAGACAAGTCCAGTTCCGTACCTGCATCAGCTTGAGTGCAGTCGGCAAGCCATGGAGAGATCGCGTGAACCACAGTCACTCCCCGCTCCCCAGCCCACTGAGTATCACACGGTTGTGGTAAAGCCATCGCCAAAGCACTCAACCAACACCGCTTCACAATTGAACCAATTGAAATCGGCCTCAAGTCCGACTCGTTCTTAGGTACGCCCACCACTCTCCATGGAAAGATTTGTGACAACGCTTATGAAGGTAGACGTCCTCGAAGTTACACTACATACTGGGAAGTAGAAACCCACACCTGATGCAACTCCTTGATGATCTCTGGAAAAGACTTCTTTCTAATCTTCAACTCCTTAGCCTCCCAGCCATCGAACCCCGCTGAACACGTAGCCTTGTCAATCACCTGCTCGAATGATTCCAAGCTCGGTATCCAGTCGCTCGCATAACTAGATTGAGGGAATTGTACTTGTGCTGCATGGTGCTTCCAATTCTGAAGATGCTCTCGAGCCGCCTCTGGGTCATTCGGACACCACTGTGCTTCCCAAGTCTCCCGCATCTCTTTCGATCCGAAAGACGCCGAAGGTGCCGACGCTCTGAACAATGGTGTCGTCAATCTTTACAGATCCGTACTCCAAGTAGCAAAGCGTTTCTTCCACTCCGACGTTTTCTGCATCGAAATCTTGACATTCTCAGCTGTGATGCCAGTCGATATCATATCAAGAGCTTCCGTGTAGGTTGGGATACCATCTCTTCGAGAAGGAAATGTCCAGACAGATGTGCCGCAGTAATCGCAACCATACCTCATCTAACAACAGCAGCTACAGCACAGGACGGTATCAACAGTACCCACGTTTCAATTGACACGGGCGACAAACGCACCCACAGCTCAACGGCAGAACGACCGCAGCAAGAGTACCCACATTCCAGTAGTCACCAGCAGCTACACTGCAATTGAACCAGCATGTCACATACCACGGGCAGCAAACGTACCCTCATTTCATCATGAAGGCCCCGCCCTGTACACCATCTAACATTGGAGAGGCTGGATTCATTGGGGTTGAGGAGCTTGCGGGGGTTAGGCCCGACGAGGCCGGAACATGAACAGCATGTCATCGAAAGGCTTCCAACAGGCCATCGAAAGGCTCAAAATGCCACGGGCAGCAAACGCATGCACAGTTCAACGGCAGAAGGGCCGCAGCAAACGCACACAGGATGGCAGCCAGCGTGCTCTCATTTGAACTGCCACCAACAACCACGCTTCATAATGGCAGCACACGTGCCCAGATTTCAAATGCTACTGCCAGCAGACATACCACATTCCAATGACAGAAAAGCCTCAGCAAGCGTACCCACATGTCAACTGCCGCCAGCAGATGCACCGTACGACGGCAGCAAACTTACCCGCACTTCAATTTCCATTGGCGGAATTTCTCAATGGCAGAAGTCCCGCAGCAAACGTACCCACATGTCCATTGCCACCACCAGTTGCATTACAGGATCGTCGCAAACGAACGCACATTTCAACTGCCACGGGCAGGAAACGCACCAACGGCTCAACGGTTGAAAGGCCGTAGCAGGTGTACCCGCGTTTCCGGTGCCACCAGCAGTTACACCACTTGGTGACAGCCAGCTTACTCTCATTTCAACTGCCACTGGCAACAAACATACCCAGTTTCCGATTGCTACCAGCAAGTACACCAGAGGATGGCAGCAAACGTGCCCAGATTTCAACTGCCACGGCCAGCAAAAGTACCCTTATGTGACCAGCCACAAGCCAGCGATCGCACCCCATGCGTGCTGGGTGCAAATCCAAGCGCACGTGCGCACGCAAGCTGACAGAAGCGGCGCCCCCCTTTTTTGACCAGATAGGTTCTTGAGACATGACAATCCAACAACAGAGAACAAGCAGAATGCGTCCCGCGGAATCGCACTGCAGCCACGCACCCAGGGACAATGAATGGCCCTTCGGCCCCGTCACTCTGACCTCGACCGACGGACCAAAAAATTGTATAAGCATATTTTCTCTGAGCTCCGGGATGATTTCTCGGATCGGCGTTGGGACTCCCCTGGCGGCACCTCCGGCGCCGCCCTTTGCGCGCTCCGCGCGCCAGGGAGGGGGAGTCCAGCGCAGAACCAAAAGATACGCGCGAATCTCAGAGAAATAATGTTTGCCCCGTGTTTGTTCTGTTCGACCTCTTCTTCGCCGATTCGCCCACCACATCCCCCAGGTGCACTGCCTGGCTGCTGTTGCTGGCGTTGCTAGCCCAGGCCCTGACATCTTCGCGTCGTGGACAAGTCACGACGGCAGGTTTTGGCCATCGTGCGTTTTGGGGGGCCTTTGCCAGGCCCCCGGGGACGGCGAAAAACGGTTCAGGAAGAAAACCAGGTCTTTGGGAAGTTGCCCAGACTTGTGAGGGATCCGCGCTTCGAACAAGAACACCGGCGCCCGGTGTCTGGGTTGGTTTCGTCTTCCAATGTGTTGGTGTTGTGTCAGGCGCAGCGAGGGAAGCGAAACAGGAGGAGAAGGAGAAGAAGGAGGAGGAGGAGGAAGGAGAGGAGGAGAAGGAGGAGGAGGAGGAGGAAGGGGAGCGGGAGGAGGACGAGGAACGGGAGGCGGACGAGAAAGAGGAGGAGCAGGGAGGAGGACGAGGACGAGGAGCACGACGTCGTGCAGGATGCGCATTGGAAGCCGAAGCCAGAGGGAGGAGGAGGAGGAGGAGGAGGAGGAGGTGGAGGAATAACAATAGTTTAAATAGTCAGAATAGAATATTAATCAGAATAATAAGAAATAGTAGTGATGATAATAATAATAATAATAATAATAATGATGATAATAATAGTAATAATAATAATAAGAAGAAGAAGAAAAACAACAAAACGAGGCGCAGGAGGAGGAGGAGGAGGAGGAGGAACAGGAGGGGAAGGAGGGATGGGGAGGGCGTCGAGCAGCAGGCGAGGGGGCGGCGGCGGAGGGCCTGGAGACCTCCCCGCCGCCGCGCGGCGGCCGCGACGAGGCCGCGCCCCGCGAGGGCTCCGCGCGGGCGGCCGGCGGCGCGGCTCGGCATGCGCGGGCAGGCCGGCGGGGCGGCGCGGCCGCGCTGGCCTCCCCCTCGTCCTCCTCCTCCTCCTCCTCCTCCTCC